CTCTGTAGACAACTTTGGGAGATTTTTCTCCACTTTCAGAAACTATTAATTCACTGCTAAAGCCATTCGTTTCTGCTCGGAGTTCGGCAAGACTAAGTTCCTTGAACGTAGGCACTTGATCTTGGTCTACTTGATCCCCATTAGCTTCATCAACAACACAGGCAATTAAACAAGAGATTGATTAAACCTTAAGTTATGAATCGCCACAATTACATCGAAATTTTTTGCACATATACTTAAAAGTGAGAATCTTAGCTCAGGTACATATACTTGTGTATACGGTTAAAACCGGGCCAACCCGATTGTGCTATTTGACCGAGACCAGGGAACTACATGAGGGTTAGCCTCGTAATGGATCAGATCAGAGCACGAAGACAAGGTATCGAGTCCAAGGATCGAGGTGCCTGTCGAGATCGAGGCCAGCAACGATCGAGACCAAATCTGTATCGGTTAAAATCGGGCCTACCCGATTGTGCTATTTGATCGAGACCAGGGAACTGCATCGAGGTTAGCCTCGTAATGGATCAGACCAGAGCACGAAGACAAGGTATCGAGTCCAAGGATCGAGGTGCATGTCGAGATCGAGGCCAGCAGCGATCGAGACCAAATATGACAGACTTCGAGCAAAGCGCAATAACGGAAAGACGAGATATCCGTGACTAGCCGAGGATCATGGCGTAAATCTCGGAACATATCAAATCAAGGGCGGTTATCTAGTTAATCATGGGATTTACCTCCGTAGTTAGAATTGTACCATAAATAGAATTCCTCTACTATAAAGGGGGTCCTAATCATCTTGTAAACAATGGCGGATCCACATTATGTCATATGGGTGCTTAAGCACCCATTGCTTTTGAAAACAACACTAGTACTTACATAGAAAACTTAGTAATTTATATAAATATATTAACTAAGCACCCAGTCTAAGTAGTAACTTTCAAATTTAGAATAGTTGAGCACCCACAATCTAAAAATTCTAGATCCGCCACTGCTTGTAAACACCTTGCATTCACGCATATCAAAACAATACAACACTTTCTAGCTTATATTCTTGTTCATCAGCTTGTTATATCTTTTACTATTCTTGCATTAACCTGTTCGAAGGCATCCAGGCTCGAGAGCTTAATTACGTTGTAACACCGGTTTGCTTTATTTTATTGTCAATTCCCGTCGTTAATCATTACATTTATCAATTAGTATTAGGTGAAGTTACGTATCTTTAAAATCACACTATAAGTTTAATTGTTATCCAAATTTTTAGGATAAACAACTTACCTGTCTTGGCTTACCTGCTTGTTTAAGGATACAAAAACAGAAACGAGTGATAATCACATCAATATTCAGTACTAATCAGAAACCCTATATGGAAATAAATATGGCAAAAGAAAAGGATAAATCTTGGCTAAAAATCAGTAAATGGAAAAAGAGGCAGCATGACAAGTTGACAAATAATGACTATTCCACAAACAAACTTTCTATCAATGGCAGGACGCACTACTTTAATAAAAGCTACTCTTAATTATCTGTCTAATCATGTTATGCAATTAATAAAAATACCTCATAGTGTCTTAACAAACTAGAACGATATCAAAGAAACTTCCTATGGGGTACCACTCCACAGAAACGCAAATTACACCTTATTAACTGGAAAACAGTCCAATTACCAAAGGAAAATGGTGGTTTGGGTATACAAAACCTCAAAGATAAAAATAAAGCATTATTGGGCTCCCTAGCTTGGAGACTATTTCAATCACCTTCCTCACACTGGGCTAGAGTAATCCTTTCCAAATACTTAATAACTACTAATTCAAAAATTATGTCCTCCAACTGAAAAGCAATCACTCATGGCTGGTCCTCATGTAAATTATGCATCAATTGACATCCCGTTAATGAAAAACACATAAGCTTCTGGGATGATCCTTGGCTAGGCACTAATTTAATTCTAAGGAAAATTATTGGAGGTTCCCTAACCCAGAATGCTCAATCTTCATCACTTTCCCAATATATAACGGGGAACTTCATAACTACACAAACAATACCCTTTGAGCTACCAACGACTATAAATGAGTTAATTACCCATCACTATATACCTATCATCACTAACCCTAACACATATGACCATATTTGTTGGGGCATCACATCCAGTGGCCTCTTCACAGTTAAATCCTTCTATCAAACATTACACTCTCACGAACAAATTAACTCATTCCACTGGTTATGAAAACTACACTTATCCCACAAAATCAAATATTTCCTATGGCTTATGAGCCATCATCGACTGCTCACATCCAGTCATCTCCATAATATACATATTACCCAGCATGCATGATGCCCCATTTGCCATCTACATGAGGAATCCATAAGCCATCTATTTTTCCAATGCCACCATGCCAAAATGCTTTGGCAACGCTTAGGTATTAACTTATCCAATGCAAACTTAAATAGCCTGCATGAGAATACTTCACACAAACTATTTCAACTCATTCTACGAACAAATACTCATAACACTCAAATACCTCCACATATTTTAATTCCTTACACTCTTTGGAAGTTATGGAAAACTAAGAATCGTACTATTTTTGAAGGAAAATTCATACACCCAGACCACAATCAAATCATATGCCAAGCTGCTGAATTTTTTTACATAGGCATGAATAATCCTAACACCATCCCACAAAAATCACACATGCACGTTAAATGGAACCCTAATAATGGTTCCTTTAAACTTAATACGGATGGTGCATGTAGCCTAACACATCAAAAATATAATTTTGGTAGATTGATTAGAGACTCCACATGTAGATGGTTACTAGGATACGTGGGTTCAAGACCTATGGGAAACACAATCCACATGGAACTTACGGCCTTACAGGAAGGGCTACGATTTGCCCTACAACATAATATCACGCAATTGGTGGTCAATGTGGATTCAACTGAGATAATCTCCTTCTTGCATTCACATAAATTAATGAATGCAGATATCTCCTACATATTTTGGGTTAGTCCTTGGGTGACACATGTATACATGGAGCAGAATCAAGTGGCATATCAAATGGCCAAAAAAGGGGCAACTCTCTCAATGCAAACCCCAACTACTGATTTTTTGGAAGCACCTCATTTTGTCATGCTGGTACATTGATGATCAACGGGGAACACTGCACCAACGTTCCACAACTACTCACAAGACGCTGGAACACCCATCTTTTTGTTTACATATGTTGTCCAACGCTTGTACTATGAACTTGGCAACTCCGCTAGAAGCTAGCATCAGCGCACAACGATATTTTTGTAACTCTGTACCACATTATGCTCCTTGTACTACTCCTTAATATATAATATATGCATCTTTGATTGACCAAAAAAAAAAAAAAGACTATTCCAGAAATATACAATTTTGATACAACAAAGCTAGAAACTTTTAAATATTTTACTACACTATAGTTCATGTGTACATTAGTACAAAATGTATATATATATTTATTACACATCGTAGTCATTCAATATACAAAAAATAATGTTCTATACAAAAAATATACAAATAGACTGCTACTATATAAAAATATACAAAATAGACTGTCACTATACAATTTATATGCAAAATAGATGCCACTATACAAAATATATACAACAAAAATTGTCACAATACAAAAAATATACAAAATAGATGTCACTATATAAAATAGGTCACTGTACAATTTATATACAATAGACTGTCACTATACAAAAAATATACTAATAGACTGTCACTATACAAAAAATATACAAAATAGACTATCACTATACGAAAAATATACAAAATAGATATTTCGGGCTATTAGACGTAATATGTTTGGGCCATTTCGTGTCAATGAGGAAAAACATGAGCTATTAAAATTTTGAGGGGCTATAGAGGGTCATTTTCTCAAAATATGAAGAGATTGGGAAAAAGAAACATTGATTTGAACAAATTAAGAAAGGGAGAGTAAATTTTTTGCACATTATCTAGTGAAGGAGTAATAAGTAAAACATTAAAATGTTGGGAAAACTATTCATCTACCATTTTTAAACAAGTCAAATTATTATTTTAATTTATATATATAAATAGCTTTCTTTCCTTTTATATTGAAAACTCTACTTTTGTATTAAAAAATACTAAATATTACTTTTTAAATACCTATAAACCTATTATTTTTGAGAAATGCCCCCTTCACCCCTCCTCCCTCCCCCCCC